CTCAGTACATGAGACTAAATGGCAGGTGGGCTTATGGCTGTACTGTCCAGGATGACCTCACTGGATATGTGAAAGTTTGAAGGCTGCTGGGTGTGGTGAATGTGGTTAACTGGCCTGTGGGTTTCTCATCCTCTTCCTCCTTCATACGGAGGGAGAGTTTCAAATGGCTAATGTTGGAAGCTGCTACAATTTACTGGTGAAATCCAGCTACAATATAGGCCACACTTGAGATGTGGAGAAATAGAGTCTACCTCTGGATGGGGAGAGTTGAAAAACATTACGGCCACTCTTGCAATATACTACAGGGTTTTATTTCTCTTTACCTGCAGATCTCAGTGAAAGGTACTTCCTCAAGTCCTCCTCGTATGGTCTCTCATGGAATAAGCTAAGCACTCAGCATACATGGTGGGTGGAAGGAAGAGAAAAGGGATGAAAGTAAAAAGGGTCTATTGGTTTAGATGAATGCCTCCTTTGTGCCTAGTAAGTTGCACAAGTGTCAGTTGAATTTAACGCAGTGCTTCTTTTATAAGACAGGAGGTAGGAAAATATATGTATCAAAGTTACTGTATTTCAGGAATTGTCACATGTAGCTTGTGTATCTCATGGAAATGTAAGAGTATATTTTCCCCATCTCACACCCAAGGGATTAAGTGGCACCCCAAGGTCTGTCTGATTTCAGAGTCTGTGGACTTTCTTGTCCACTTCATTGTTACTCCAAATGCCAAACACATTTTGTTTCCAAGGAGCACCCAGTACCAGGTTCACTTAGGAGATCAACTCAAGTTTGGTATGGAGGAGGGAGAGATTCTCCATGTAGTACTCAGTGTTGCCTCTTAATAGAGGTTCTCCCCACTCTGCATGGACATGGCAAGAGTTGAATGCAGCTGTTTCTATATTTCCTTGGAACTTTCTGAGAAGACATTGCTCATTCCATCACCTACATCTAATTCGTAATCAGTTTTATCCATTTTTCAGAAATAGGGATCTTTGCAACTTGCTTTGGGCAGACATTAGCTTAGTATCTGGAAATAGGAACATGGGAATGAATGATTCAGAACCATGACTGGGCACTTAACAAAGGTGAGTGAGATTTTCATTAAGAGATGACTGGGAAAGAAGTAGGAAAGAATATTCCTCCTCTACTCTTGCCCTGATATGTTCTTTACATGCTCACAGTGTTTTGCTCATAAATGCATTCGTTGAATATTTATTGAGTACCTAGTACTTACTAGGAACTAGGATGGATACTGCTTATATAATAGTGGGTGCTAATCAGACCTGGTGTTGCCTTAGTGAGATAAACAATAATTAATACCCTGCATAGACAAGTTGAAATGGCAGCCATGATAAGTGTCATGGAGAAGAGTCTATCACAGAGGAATCTGATTGCTTTAGACTTCTTAGTAGGGAGAAGTGCCTCATGGGGAGGTGGCTGAGGATGATGGGAATGATTTAGGAAGTCACTTCTCTTTAGTTCTCTATAAAATTTTGTGCTGGCACTGTGATAGATGCTGGGGCCATTCCTATGGTTTTCAACCCTGGCTTTGTATTAGAATCACCTGAGCTTTATTAAGTTCTTTATTGGGGCCACATCCTGATTAAATAGATTTGGAGAGGGGTCTAAGTATCTGAATACTTGAAGAACGACCCCATGCAATTTTCCATCATTTGCTGCCAGGATTGAAACCACCAAACCACACAGATGGAATGAAGGTTCTTGCTCTCAAAGAGCTCGCACTCTAGTGGAGACACATATGTGACCATGGAGACAGATAATAGCGTAGTCAGCATTCTGATGGAGACAGCAGAGGTGGTTGAGGGAGCTTGGGGGAATCAGGGGCCTGCTAAGTCCTAAAAGATGAGCAAGAGTGAGTCTGCTGTAAGTGAGTGGGTCTGATACCCCAGCCCATAGCTATGGTTCTTACATCAGATCAGGAACCCCATTACACTCATAAGACTGGTTAGTTGTACATAGTACTTGCCATATATAAAATTATAGGTAATCTGTAGAATTATTTGGTTCCTGTCTTTGCCTCCCTAATAGAATGTCCATTCTATAAGGACAGGGACCATGTCTACTTCTGACTCTCCCTTGTATTTCCAGTGTCTAGCACAAGGCAGATGCCTGTCTGATGAATAATTAAATGACTGAACAAGTGGCTTGAAGGAGTTTTGGTAGGTCATGACATTATCTCTTCATCTCAGATCCATGCCTTTGACTGCACCATGAGAGTGAGTTGGCAGGGGACATGTGACAGCAAGGCCAGTTCAGTGGCTCAGTTAGGGCACTAACTGCGGAGGAGCAGTACAGAGCACCCTTGTAGCACTCGAGGAAGCTGAGGCAGAAGGTTCAGAGTTTGAGTCCTGGGCAAATTAGTGAGACCCTGGTTCAAAATTTTAAAAAAAATTTTTAAAAAGGACTGGAGATGTAGCTTAGTATTAGCTCCCTGGGCTCAATCTCTGCTAACAAGAAGAGGCATTGGGAAGCATTTGGAGCTTCAGTTGTGATGGGAGAGAACAGGATGATAAGGTCAGCACTAGCTCCCAAGTTTCTAGATTGAGCAGCTGGGTAGTGGGTGGTCCCTTGCAAGAGATGAGGAAGAACCTGAAGAAGAAATCTGAGGAGTGATGGATTCATCTCTTTGAGAGAGGATGCTATGGAATACTACTCCCAAGAGGTAACTGGGTGGATGAATTTGAAAGTACTGCATAAGCAGGAATTTTAGAGTATTCTTTTGTTGAAATCTCATGGTGCTGGAAATCTAGAACTTTCTTCTGGAAGACAAGATGATGGAGTTCTACCCAGCCCTAATATTAATTGGTGCCATCTTAAGTAACTCACGATATTTCAAGAATATGTGCTTCTTTCATTTTTGGTAGCAAACTCTAAGATTCCTTTTGACTTTGACATAGTTACCTTCAGTTAGTTGTAGAATTTAGGGAAAGGGGAACTTTCTCTTGAAAGGCTCGGTCACAGCTAATTGGATATAAGGAAATCTACCTGACATCATGGTAAACCTAGACAATTAATACATGGTTTCTTGGAGTGTTGTGCTTAAGAGTGGAAGCAGAGCCCAAGCTTACCAGAAATGGCTCTGTGATCAATGAGTGATGTCTGCTACAGACACAGAGGGAACAAGTGGAACAAAAGCTTTCCTTCAATCACCTTTCAAATGCATCAAAAAGTGCTTATTGGACTGTTCCAACTTGGTTCAGCCATTAGCCTTGGCTAACTTAGTTAAATCATTTCATGGCCCTGAGCTTGACAGTTCTCTAATTTGTCAAGCAGGAGTAATAGTCCTCATATTTCCTACCTTTGTTATTGAAAGGATCAAATGAGAAAGAAACATGGAGCCAGGATGGTTTCTGTGAATTTATATAAACTCATACTTGTAACACTTGGGGATGTCAGAAATGGGGATGAAGGAACAGCAGATAATCCTGTTTCCTGAAAGATGTAATTTCAAAAGTTTATCAGTAAGAAATTAATTTTAGGCTGGGGATTTAGCTCAGTGGTTCTGCCGCTTGCCTTGCAAGCACAAGGACCCAAGTTTGATCCCTGGTACCAAAAGAAAAAAAAATTAATTTTAAAATTGTATAACAATTTAAAATTTCAAGATAGAAAATAAAGAGTCATAAAATCATCAAGTAAGGAAATAAAAAGAAGAAAGGAAGGGAAAGAGAAATCATTCATTGCAGGAGAGTGTGGTGAAATAGAGTGAAAATTGGTATAGCTCTTCTGAAGAGAAGCTGGAAACATGTATCATGGTCCTTAACACTATTTATAATCTTTGGCCATGTACTTTGGGTAATCCAGATCAGGTGTCAAGCAACATTTCCTTCTAGCATTGGATCATACATATTTCAGGATCTTCAGGCCATACAGTGTCTGTCACCAAGTACTCAATTGTACCACAGCTATAGCAGAGCAAAAGCAGCCACAAACAATATATATGTGGATGGGTGTGGCTTTGTTTCCAATAAAACTTTATTTACAAATAGAGATAGTAGCTAGTTTTGATGGTACTCAGAGGACCACGATTTGGCAATTCCATGATGTAGATTAAGAAAATATTTTTAGGATGACACTAAGTTCAAAATTTTAAATATAGAATATAGGCCAAAAGTTTCTCATCCCAGCCTTATTTATAATAGCAAAACATAAGTGCAACTTAAATGTTCATCAGTGGGGAGACTGATTAATTTTGATGTCTCTGCTCAGTGAAATATCACATAGGTATTAAAGTGCTGCTTGTTGGGATAATGAGATGGAGAAATGCTTGATAGAATGTTACAGGAGGAATTGAAATCGTTTTTTATGATGATACAGATGATAATGATGGTAGCTAACATCTAAGAATTTTATGCACGTCAAATCCATGTGAAATACACTTTTTATTGTAACTCCTTTATGCAGAGGCTGATGGTAATGGAAGTTGACTTAGCAAAAGTAACACTGCTGGATGGTGGCAGAGTTGGGATTTGAACACAACTGTGCTTAATGCTAAAAGCAAAAATGAAATTAACCAATCAAACCAATAAAAGTCCCAAATTAAACTGTTTATTAAAAAGACCAGAAGAAAGTATGTTCAGCAATTGACATTATCTGTCTTGAGTGGTAGGTGATAGATATTAATATTTCTCAACAGGTTGAATGTTTTCTCCATTGAGAATATATTGTTTAGCAAATGAAGAAACAACACTTGCATTTTGTAGGGAGGCTAAGGATGGAAGAAGACAAGGTGGGACTGTGGTGGGAGACATTTTTACCTGGAGGGATCCAGCGAGCCCCTCTGGCATGCCCTTAACCTGCTTGGTCTTGCTTTTGTTTGTGGAAAGGACATGATGATCCTGTTTCCTGTCTTGTTCCAGGTGGAGTTGTATGGTGTTCTGTTTGCACTGTTGGCCCATTTTTCTGCTCTATTGGGTTGACCTTCCAGTCCTAACTTTCTTTCTCCTCTCTCTCCTCCCCCTGTCCATCCATCTGTCCCACTATACAGCTGACAAGGTCAATGACGACTTCTACTCCAAGCGACGGCACCTGGCTGAGCTGGCTGCCAAGGGGAACCTACCTCTTCACCCGGTAAGAGTGGAGGACGAGCCCCGGGCCTTCAGCCCTGAGCACGGGCCTGCCAAGCAGAATGGACAGAAGTCTCGCCCCAACAAGATGCCCCAACACCCCCTGGCCTACAACTCCACCGCCAGCTTTAAAGGCTGGGACCCCAATGAGCAGTCTCTCCGGCGGCAGGCGTATGGCAACAAGGGCAAGCTGGGCGCAGCCGAGTCGGGCTCCAGCGAGCCCTTGGGAACTCGCTCCCAGCACTATCCACCCACACAGCCATACTTCATCACCAACAGCAAAACGGAAGTGACTGTCTGAGTTGTCGCTGCAGAGAGCACCCTGGAGACCACACTCAACTGAGAGAGGCAAAAAACATCCCGGCCCACACCATCCCTGCCCTGCCCTGCCCTGCCCCTCCGCACGCACCCACACTCACTCCCAATGGGAACCGACTGCGGACCTACTGGTGATGCAGAATCACGCTTCTCCTAGGTCATGCCTAAAGCGTCAGGTGGGGGAAGAACTGAAGCATGGACATTCAGCAATACCGAAAAGGGGAAACTGAGGCACAGTCAGCTTCAGGCCCAAGGTGGCCAACTCACATGCCCAAACCATGGGGCTAATTTTTCTTTTCCTCCTAACTTGAAAGTGAAATCCATGATGAAAAAAAATATAGACAAGTAGCACAATTTAGAGAAATTGTCCACTGGAGCACATATGTCATTTGGCACGTGCTGTCTGTTTCTGGGTGAAAGGCAAGTAGAGAAAGAATGAGGGTGGACAGAAGACAAGACTGCACTTTAGAGAGGAGTTGCCTTGGGAGGAATATGTCCACATTATAAGCATTTTCTAATCCCAAGAAGTGATATGGATACAAAATGGTGACAATTGTGGGACAGTAACCGGACCCCAACCATTGTATCAATAGTACTTTTCATATCAATGTTGAAAGCAAAAAAAACCCCACAACACTCAAAATCACAAAAAATAAATGGACCCTGAACCCACTGACAGCGATGGGAAAGAAAGAGCGTTTTGGAGGACTCCCGTAGAGCCCATGAGCATGGAAATGGGAGAGACAGGGCTTATGGCTGGGAGAGGGTCCAGAGAGAGTACTAAACGACGTTTCAAAGGGACCAATATAAGCCCACTACAAAACAGGCAAGAACAGCAAATAAACTTCTGTTCAAAATCTTCAAGACTTGGGAAATCAGATCGATAACAACAACTACAAAAACTACATTTGGAAAAGTGAACAGAGAAGGGATGAGGACCCAGAAGCCTCTGATTTCTGGTGTTTCTCCCTCACCTCCAAGGCCTGAAACAGCCACAGAAACAAGTCCTCTATTAACTGTTTATCTCCGATTTCCCATCCCCTTCAGCGCATTCCTGCCACCACTGCCAAACTTCAACTGCTTTGGACTGAAAATGTTATAAGCGTGGGTGGTGCCTTCAATGTGTTGCTGTTGTTTGATGACAGTCTTGTTTCTCAAGTGCAACCTGTGTTCTTTTAGCCTTCCTCCCTCTTGTTTTTCTGCAGGAGTAGACATTGTTTCCATTCTTCCTTTGTAGGTGAGCCCAGCCCATAACGCCCCTGAGGGGGCTGCTGCATTGTCAGCAGTCCCTAAGGACACTCCCACTCTTCCCTCGTTCCTCCCAGTCACCTCCCCGGACACCCTGTACCTTCATCATTCACTCAGAATCTCCTGAGGATGTCTTTGAGACTGGTTCTTAGAACCAGTAGCCCTGGGATGTCCCAACAAAAGCAGTTTTCCTAAAAGTCCTCTTTGTGTAGTGAAAGTCCAGAGAGGTGCATGGAGGGAGAAGAGAATATCATATAAAGTGAGAAGTTTCCAACTAGCCCCCGAACATCTTAGCTAATTAATAGGAACTCCAAAAAACCCACAGTTTCTTTTGTTGTCAGAAACTGCAAATGATCTGATCAAAGAACAGAGCATTTCTTGCAACATTCTGCCTCCCATCTCTCCAGTCTGGCATCACAGAATCAGCACAACCAGATACTTATTCTCCCCCTCGCTCTCTACAGATGTGAAGACACTGACAATGCCTTTGATCTCTCTGGGCCTTAGCTTCCTATCTGAAGAATTGGGACTAGGTCAAGCTTTTCGAGCTTTTTGAAATATCAAACCCTCTGCCCGTTTCTAAATTGAAACCTTGCAAAGAACCTACTATATAAGGTTTCCACGTATAAAGAGATGTGGTGAAAGATGTAGCAGGGGCCAGAGACCCCTTCATGCTGAGGCCCTAGCACTCACCGAAGTCAACAGTAGGGTCAATAGTGCCGGGCATGGTCAGTATTCCTTTGCCATTAGTTAGCTGTTGACCTGTAACACATGTAGGGATCTCTGTGTATCATCATCACAATATTTATATCTAAATTGATTCACTTTTAATATGTTATTTTTAAAAGGACAACTTCCTACCTTTATCATAAATAGAAAACCAGCGTCATTTGCCATACACAGAAACTAAGAATTAAAAGAAGTGCAAAGAGAAGGCAGCAGTGATGAAATTCCAGCTAAGTACTGGTACCTGTGGAAAGGTTCACACCCTAAAGTCGGGCACATAATTGCTCTATTAAAAAGAAATTAGGAAGTGTTATAGTTGTTCAAGATACCAGTACCCAGTGGAAACTTTCCTTGGATTAATCAGATGAACTGAAGGGTAAATTAAAAAGGAATCTTTCCTTCAGGTGAGTCTGTGTTAAATAGTGCTATATCCATTGTACACTACATATAATCATTTTGCATAAACTAATGGTACACAGCCCACACCTAAGGAAATACTGGGTTTATCTAGGAGGCTCCTTCCAGCTCAAAGGTTCTATGATTTTTTTGCCTCCCTCCTACCTTACCTTTGGTCTTTACCCTCTACCCGCTTTATCTTGCCCATATCTTAACTCTAATTAAGGGTTTTTCTTGGTCCCTGAGTCTGTAGTGTGTTACTTTTTCCTCTTGCTCCTCCCTTTTGAAGTAAACTCCATCCAGTAAAGTCGGAGCTTTGGAATCTGCAGATCTAATTTTGTCAGCAAAGATAAAGCCTGTTACATAAGATGAGGAAGCCCATGATGAAGCCCAGGAAGAACAAGTACTTCCTAAGTGGTACTCTCCAAGAAGGGCAACCCAGGAAGTACTTCCATCACAGCACCTTCCACCGAGGGAGACGGCTTAGGGGGATGAATTGAGGAGGGAAGTTGGGACAGGGAAGGCCTGTTTATCCTTTGACTTCCTCTTGGAAGTGTAGACAGACCTCATGATACTGACACTGGGGTGATCTGTGGAGCTACATATGACTGCCAATTCCAAGGCAAGGATCCTACAGCAAGGGTGAGGAGACCTAGGAAAGAAAACCCAGATGGAAACAGACGGTCCTCTCCTCTTTCCACGCCCTGGCACTAGCCTCTTCTTCTCTTTGGCTGTCCGCTGATTTCCAACCCAGGGGGGCCAGTCTGGCTTTCCTTTGCCTTCCCAGAGTGTCTCAGCCTCCATTTGCCTTGGGCTCTGCCTGGCATCCCCATCTAATTCCTCCAGTTTTTTTGTGTAAATGGAGCATATTTTATGTGCAAATATTTTAGTAACCGTATGTTCTGCAAGTAAACCTGTGTTAATACTTGTCACAACTGCAGAGTTTATGATACCAATAATACTTCCTACAATGAAGAAAAAACATGTTTGTTTTCTAAGAATGTTTATTTGTAAACATATGTATTCACTATATTAATATGAATTTCTTACCTGGCAATAAAACTGATTATATGTGATTCTGTTGAGGTTGCTATGCATTTTTCTAGGGCTCTACATCCTAATCTGAATTTCTCCCAGGAAACAACAATATTAGCATACAAAGTCTTTAGTTCACTAAATGTGAGTTCTCCTTATAACTAACCTGATCTTAATGGCCAAGAATCTTGCTGAGTTTGGACTTTTTTTTTTTAACCAGTGACTAGAGTTGCAGAAGAATAGACTATTGAAAGGATGGGACATTGGATTCTTCCTCTATTTTAAAAATGTTATTCTCTTCTTGGCCTTTGTTAGCATTGAGCTTGAAATCTTTAAGTAAAATCCTGTCAGAATGTGGCTCTCCCAGACAGAGGCTCTGAGATAAATACTTGAGTGTAAGCAGTTTATTTAAGAAGTAAAGGTACAACAGGGAGAAGAAAAAGGCTGAGCAGGGTGCCTTACCATGCCAGCTATAACTAAAGGTGGCTGAGGTTTAATGCTGTGGGAAAACTTTCTGTGTTAAACACATACACTTGGAATTCTCTTGCTCAGCCAGACACTGTAGATGAATAGCTTTCAGAGACTGTTACTGTTCAGACAGTCCTAAGCTGCCACATGCAGAGAGATTCCCATGGCACACAGGTACACCTACTGGTTATTCGGAAGCTACACATGGCACACTGGATTCCAATTGTGCAAAGACACAAGGGGTTGGGGCAGTAACTCACAGTGGCTGCTCACAGAAGTCTAGGGGCCTCTTGGGAATGAAGTTTCTACTCTCTGGATGCTTAGAGATTTTTGTCAGTGTCAAAAACAGAATCACAGTGCTCGCTTCAGCAGCGCATATACTAAAAACAGAATCACAGTCAGCCAGAATTGGAGACCGTGGATTTGGAGTTCCCTTATCGGCCACAGGGTCACATGGTATCACCCAGAGCAGATCCCATGGACTCTCTCTTTGGGGCATAGTTTTGATTGTCAGAGGAGCCTGCAGGGCAGAGGATTCTCTTTCAGCATGCAGGGGCTGATCAGGGGTGGAATCTCTGACCAGGGCACAACATAGCCCCTGGCTGCAGTCATAAGATAGACAATTATGCCTTTGTGGGGAGGGACAGACCACTTTTCTAGGGAGACCACCTAGTTGGTTACAACTCATAAACAGCAAAAATCATGGAAAGGAAATTTGCGAAGACGAACACTGTCCTTGGACAGTACCACTTAGCAAGTACCTGTTCTTCCCGGGCTTCCATTGCAGTGTTTTGCCGTATTTGATCCTCACAACTATGAAGGGTAGACACGAATGTGCTTTGGATATTCTGTTCAGAGATCTGTCTAATGTTCAAGTATTTCATCCAAATGAATTCAAATAATAAGTGATGGGACCAAAATTTGAACCCAGAGCTCATCCTTGAACTATTCTGGCAGTTCTCGCTTGAATGAGCATGTGGATTGCTAGGAATGCTTGATAAACATACAGATTTCCAAGCTCCCCCTGCAGAGATTCAGATGAGGTAGATCTGAATTGGGACCCAAGATCCAGCACTTGGGACAGACTTCCTACCACTGCAATGTGGAGGCTCCTGGCCCTGGCTCTGAGAAGTGCTACATGGTGTGCTCATTTAGCATCTTGTCAGCTTGTCCTAGGGGAGGTGCTTCTAGAGGGACCCATACCTGTGGCTGCATATCCAATGTTGGAATGTTGTGCCCTGTAATGAACTGAAGATTGGGCCCAGAAGATCTTGGGAGGGGTGGTGGCGTTGATTCAAACACAAGTTCGCCATGTTCCTGGGGCCTAACCTGAGCTATCTCTGGTATTCTATTGCTTCATCCCCAGAAAGAGGAGGTTGTGGTTGATAATCTTTAATCCTTCAATCTCTCCTGATTCAGCAGCTTCCTTCCTCATGACCATGGCAATTGGTAAAGCTTTCAAGATTGAATCCTTTACCATTTCCAAAGATTTGTATCTGTATAACCAAGGGTTTACTTCATGTAGTAATAACCATTATGGTGACACTTCTCTGATTTGCATACTTGCTAGATATCTGGATTTATGCTAAGGGCTTTCTAACAGCCACCCATAACCTTTATGGAGGTTCTTAACTTTTTGTGGCACAGACACATTTGGGGGTCTGACGAAGCCTGTGGATTCCTTTCTCAGAGTAATGCTTTTCCACGCATAAAATAAAATACATGATATTAGAAAAGAAACTCATTCTCTTGAAATATAGTCATGAAACTATTTTTAAAACATTTTTGATATAGTTATATATGTTCTTTGTTAACAAATGCATTAAATAACAGGCTGTAATGATCAGTTTCAAAGTAATAGTAGCACACACAATTATTTGAGCCATTTACTGCAACTACAATTTGATGTGATAATATTTGTGATTCTATCAGTGACAAAACTCACATCAGTTCTAGCATGATTATGGTTTGCTGCCTACGCTTATAATTGAGGAACATACTAAATTTCTATCAGAGCTTATGAAAATAAAGATTGTTTTCCCACTTAAATTCACAAATTCACTAAATTCCATACACTGATTCTCACGAGAGTCCCTGGTTAAGATTAAGATAAGCACTCTTGGACTGGGAACTCAGAGCTAGTCAACCTATTTCTCCATGCCTCTATTTCTTATCTGTAACACAGGAGTAATAGTAATACGTATCTCTATTACTGGCTGCTGTGAGAAGTAAAATAATGGATGAAGAGATACTAGCTCAACGCTTCACACCAGGTAAACACTTAGGGGTTAGCTTTTGGTTATCATAGGCATTCATTTCACTTTCCCCTAGAATGACCCCGTGAAATTGCATTTTTACTGCTGCCCAATCGCAGAAGAAAAAGATGATGGTCAGAGAGGTTAAACGTGCACAGCTAACACTGCAAGACAGCAGCAGAGCTGGTCGAAACAGATTCTCACTGAACCTCAAGCTCCTGACTACGTACTATGCTATGCCTTTTTTTTTTCGGTACCGGGGATCGAACTCAGGGTCTTGCGCTTTCAAGGCAGGTGTGGTGTCACTGAGCTACATCCCTGGCCCTGTGCTGTTTCATTTTAAAGCAATTATATTTATGTCCTCACTACTCCCTGGAACAAGGCCAGCTAGACACTGCACAGATAGCAGTGGGTATTACCAGTTCTTTACGTGTTCTTGAGGAGGAAGACAGTGAGATGTCAGACTTCCAGAAAGCTCTTTTCTGGCTGCCTATTTATTTAAAGGCATGCTGGCAACAGTTAACAATAATGTCCTCTCGTTCAGCGTAGGCTCCCCCAGCTTACTGTTTAGCAGATCCCAATTACAAAGACCCCACTGTCCCAAAGATTGTCAGATTCTATTTTTGAATCAGTTCTGTTAGCAATACCACATGCAACTGAAATATTGCCCTCATAGATTTAATCTCAGCCTTGAAAAATAATGATCATCCTAATGTTAATAATAGCAACAACTCCAGTTACCCATCATTGAATTTTTATTATTTTCCAGGCTCTGGGTTAGGCATTGCGTATCACTGCTTCATTTCCTCCTTTCAGTACTGCTCTGAGAAAGAGACTTACCCCATTTTCCAGATGGGGAAAATTAAGGCTCAGAGAAATGAAATGACTCATCTAAGATCATATATTTAGTGAGTGGCAGGTTTGGAATTCAAGCACGAATGTGTCTGATTCACAGTGATCCATTTCATGCTGGCATGAACCACAACTGTCCCTGCCTCTTTTGGGACAGAATTGTAATGTGGGCCAATAGTTGCAGGGAGTTAAATTCAGGAAAAAGTATGCTCCTCTGGATCAGGAGTCTCTACTAATGACATCCACTCCTTCTAGCTATCACTGTCCTGGAGGCATTGGATTATGCTTTCTTGGTTGCATTTTCTGTCCTTCTAGTCTATTTGCATATTTCTCAGGTCATTGGCAAAACAGACTTGGCCTTTGAAATGCCTTAGCATCTGAGCTGGAAAGGAAAACAGGACCAGAAGAGGCCTCTGGGATAGGTGAGTAGAAAGCTAAGAATCCTAATTCAGGGTGCCTTATTATTTTTGTTGTTGTTGTTGAATTCTTTTATTGGTACATTGTAGGTATACAACACAATTACATTTCTCATTGGGAATTGTACCTTTACATGATGCATCTTGGTTCTTATTTTTTCCCCATTCCTAGCCCTCCCTTCACGCCCTCCATTCCTCCCTATTTACAAAGACTTTATTTCCATTTTTTCCCTTTCTCAGCATTTTTCCTTTCCTTCTTTCCTTTCCCCTGCCCCTCCCACTACCCCTACCCCTTTGGACCTTTTCTTCCTATTTTACATTATCGATTATTCATTCTAATCATTGGTACATTTTAGGTATACAATATAATGACACTCATCATCAGAAATTTGCACCTTTACGTAGTCTCTCCCTTGGCCAGCCCTCCCTTCAACCCCTCCATTCCTCCCTATTTACAAAGATTTTGTTCCTATTTTTCCATTTTCTCATATTAATCCCATTCCCTTCTATCCTTTCCCCTAGCCCTCCCACTTCCTTCCGAGGGTGCCTTATTTTGATCTTGGTTCGGAGAGTCACTTCTAGGAGGGCAGTGTAAGTTTTTGGGTAAGAATAGCACCCCCTAGAACTCAAGGGTCTATTCCAAAGTCCCAGTGGGCAAAATAATAGCACCTACCAAAGGATTGTTATGAGAATGAAATCTGACAATTTACATAAAGCTATGAGCAAAGAGCACTATTTTCAATATTTAAAAACTTCATTCAGAAATCATTATGCTCCCCACGTCTTGCAATTAAAAGCAACACCAAACTTTTTGACTTTGGGTAAAGCACATCTGAAATTGATGTGATACCTTTTATTCCAGCTCTTTGGCTCTTGGTGATGTAACAAGTAAGGCAGGGATTTTATTTTACTGTGGACCCTATTATACTTTCATAAAATTTTTCTAAATGGGAAATAAATTCTTGTTTAATGAATGTTGCTTTCTTGGTAGAAGGAATTTGGGGGGTCTGTAAATCTATGGGGAGTAAAATAATAATGACTTTGATGATG